TAATATTTTTTTTATTTATAAATTTTAAAATTAAAATTTTATTTAAAAAAATTAAATTTTTTAAACTTAGATTAATAGTTTCGTTGATGACTTCACGATAAGAGTTGGTGCTTGATTCACTCAGTCTCATTCTTATTATTATTATTTATATTAAATAGAGTACAGTTGGCCAATCCGCTGTCTGAATCCAGGGTTCTTTGCATTCTTTTTGAAAGAGAGCATTCCTTGTATATTAAACGTTAGGAAACATTTTTGTCAAAGAAAAAAAAAAAAACGTTAGGAAACATAGGTGCAGACCCCACGTGGATCACACTGTCTTTGGATTATAGGTGGATTGTATCTCTTTCAGCTGTTCGATTCTTTCCAAATACAGATAGATGTCAACATTAGCCATAATCATTTTCTATTGTCAAAAAATAAAAAAAAAACGTTAGGAAACATAGGTAATTAAATAGGCACCAAAAATAATAATTACCAGTTGGATAGAAGTAAAAATTAAGGCATCTCTTCACATTTAAAATATTAAAATTATTTATAAAATTATTTGAATATTTTTAATAATTTTTTATATATTAATTTATTAAATAAAAAAAGTTAAAAGTTAGTATCAAAATCCACTTGTTATGTTAGTATTATCATCTAATTAATTATTAAATAAAAAAATTAAAAATTAATATCTTTAAATAGTAAAAGTTAAAACTTAACATTCTTAAATAAAAAAATTAAAAGTTAATATTATTATTTAAAAACTGACAAACCTAATATTTTTAAATAAAAAAAGGATAGTGCTATATGAACAACCTTTTTATCCCATTTTTTTATATAACTTCCACATATCATTAAATGAGTGGATGTCTTTAATATGACAGATCCCACATAAATTAAAAGAACCAATCACTACTAGAAAACTCAACTTCATCGACCTACAATCACCGACCTAACAATTTTCCTTTGTAAATTGAAAGTTTACCGACAAGCAACATGTCTGAAACTCTAGGAACAGTTAAATTAAGAGTAATATATATTATTTATGGGTCAAGCATAGGTCAGACAAGATCTTTGTCGATAAATTAAAACAATGCACTCGTGTTATTTGTCGGTAATATCATGCAATATTCAGTCTAGCGACCAACGAACTAAAACAGAAATTACCGAAGTACTTCTTATCGGTAATTTCGCAAACTTAACTTTCCCCGTGACTCCAGCTGGTTGTGGCAGGAGTTGCAGCCTTTTATTCCAGTTACCGACGTGCTTCTTATTGGTGAAATGGAAGACCAACTTATCTTGCAAATCCGACTGCTTGCTACAGGAGTTCCAACTTTTTGTTAAAATGTCAAACGTTATATTCGTCGGTAATTTGCCAATGGAACCCCCCGTGAATTCGGCTGACCTGCTCGAGCCTAGTTTTGCAGCTTTTTAGGCAATTTAC